ACTGCCTCCCTACGTCTCGCGGCAATATAGGCTTTGTGCTGCTCAAGTGCTCGGACGCGATCAGCGACGTCGATAACGCTTCGTTCAAAATTCCTGAGATCCGCGTTCTCTTGCTCCAATCTGGAAATACGCTCTGCCTGCTCTTGCTGTATTTCTTGTACTGCTCGCAGCTGCGCTGCGAAACCCATAGGCACCATCATCTGACTGTGTCCTGGATTCGGGATCTGTGCAGGTTCCGGATGAGGTTGCAGTGGAAGATTCGGGCTTGTCATCGCTGAATGAGCGGCTTCTGCCGTATCTGACTGCATCTATGTGGCGTGTGGTCCTGAGGCTACTGCACGGAGAGTCAAGGTTGATCAGCGGGTGGCAGGCAGGCAGGGTTGGGGGTATGGTTGCTGATGCCGCAAGCGAACAAATTCCCGCAAACGGTTAGACAGTAGTGAGAGAGCCGAATGGTGGTAAAGTGCCTCAGTGGGCGATGAAAGGCGCACTGGTGGAGATGAATGGTGATTTTGGAGCACGGGAGACAGGGTATTGTATCGCGTCAGTTACGCGTTCAGTCCTACAACCACATAATAGCTACTCTCTATTCTCCCTAGGTATCTGAACTATTTTCTCCAGCTACTTTCACGCGTGCGTAGAGTTCACAGCATATCTAGATTACCAGTTTGCAAAGAGGTCTGAACGTCTACAAATACGATACTCGTTTCACGTCCTTTGCCTGTAATTACGCGCATGTCACTAGAAGGGCTTTGACAGCGGTGAATACATCTCTAGAATCACTTCGAAGCAAAAAGAAAGAATCTGAAGACCAATCTGGCCGTGATTGAGAGTGGCTGTGCTGGGGACAATAACTCGTGAATCCTGGTGTACGATTAGCTCCCGAAGCACAGTAAATAAGAGCGTGAGCAAAAGGCTTATTGCCATCTTCCGGAAATACACTTGAACACTTCGTTGGGTGATTATTTCTATAAAATACGTTCCACCAAATGGAATCGAAATGTTCTGTAGTCAAGGAGTAGGTGTTGAAACTTCCACTAACAACATTCACTCCAGGAAAAAAGTGGTCATACTCCTCGGCGGAATAATAGCCAGGAACATTGACCCATTGACTCCATAAGTCCCAACCAGCGTATTGTTGTGTTCATTGTCTGCTAGATATGCAGTCGCAACACCCAGAGCTAATTGACAGCCCCCGATACTTACCTCTACCTGCCTCTCAAAGTGCGCCTCGTTGATAACAGGGATAGCCAGCGTACCATTCGTGTTCTCGAACGCCGTGACCTTGAGGTTCTCCGCGGGACTGATGGCATCGATGCGAACCGATCCTGGGCGTGCGAAACGGAAGTAGCCGGCGAAAGCCCAGAGACGGCGAGAGACCTCAAAGGTATCGCCATCCAGGCGAACGAGAATGGCATCGCTACCGGTGGTATTTCCCGGGTTGTCTTGCGCACACCACCAGTGGAGGTATCCGGACGTGTCACTAAAGACGAAGGCTTGGTGCCTGTTCACAAGATTAGCATCGACTTGACGTTAGCGTTGGCTCATATATATTGCTTACATATAGATAGCCCATTGTAAACCCTCTGCAAGCTGACCTGTCGTATCCCAAGTCGTATTGAAGGAGCCGCTGCCGTCTGACCACTCCGTCTCCATATTGGGCTGACCTTGCGTATTGAAGGGCCGCTCTGGCATGCTTTGGTAGTTGTGCCATGTCGCTATATCGTAGTTCTTACCGCCACCAGCTTGGTCCAACTCGTAGAGGAGATTACGTTCTTGACGAGCACCAGTAGCATCGCAGCAAGATACCTGCAAGTCCTTGCGATACTTCTTGACGGTAGGATAGAGTACCTCCAGGAAGTCTGCAGCCTGATATCCGTCGGAGTCCATGCTAGCGTAAGTGACGGGATTGAAATCCGGTCTAGATGCAGGTGTACGAAGTCAGTGTATGTCCTGCGAGCGGTTCGTGGAGGGACACTTACTCGTTGTAAGCGCCTATCAAGCTAACATTGATACCCTTCTCTTCATACAGCCTGACGTATTCCACAAGGTAGTCAGCATATGCCTGTCGCCAGTCATGCGTACAATTGGTTCCGCGCACACCGCAGATCAGCCCGCCATTGATGTCAGTGGAATCGGTTTTGAAGCAACCCGGAGCAGACCAGGCGTCGGCGTAGATAAAAAGGTCCGGATTGGCGTTCATAGCTTGCTGTGTGAGTTTGAGTTGGCAACTGTCGGCTGTGGAATCGTTCATTCCTAGGCCTGAATAGTTGGCCGGTGCTGAAGGTGTCGATGGACAGCTACCAAGAATACCATCGGTAGGGCTCGAACCGACTCGGTTGCGTAGAACGGAAAGGCCTCCAAGGTTTTCGCTAAAAAGGTAATCGCTGACGAGTTGTTGGTTCGAGGGTGAAAGCCCTTGGGATCCGGTCTGATCACAGGCGACGCCGAAAGCTCCCGAACAGCCACCCCCAATCATGGTTTGATGTCGTATCGTAGCATCAACGGTAACCTTCACAGGAAGCTCGTCTTGTGTGTATGCCCATGGCACAGGAACATATTGGGCGCAGATCCCACTTGCATAAAGCAGTGGAAGAAGTGATGTCGCAGTCATCTTTGCCATCTCTGCATCAATATACTTATCTTGCTTGGAAGAAGTCCTGTCTGGTGACCCCTCTTATGACTTTTTCACGTCTTGCCAACCAGAAACCCCTAACACGGAAAGAGACGTTTTGAATCGCGTTCTCATGGATGACGACACGATGATTTGCGGCACACCTCAATTATCCAGCACGTACGGATCTAGGATAAACTCGCTACCGATATCACAACCTCTAGCGTATCGCTTTCACGGAGTGACGTGAGTACCCATCGGATCTTTGGATGTCAGTCCTCAAGTAGCGCTATGCGCTAGTCCACAATGTCGGAGAAGTGGGGCTCAAATCAAGCTTTACGGGATGTTTAGCGGGGTAAGGCCTGGAGATAAGCGTTGCCCGGCTGAACTACCAGGAAACATGGAGATATTAACCGGTGGATTGCTACCAGGCGGTTGGTATGATCGAAACAATTGGGATGCGCGGTCGAGCATGGGCCATCTGGAAGGTACACGACTAGGATTACGTACTTGGAATTAACCGACATGGAGGCTTTTGCAGGCTCATGAGATACCATAGCTAGTGTTGGGCTTCCAGCCCACTGGATACAAACTCCTTTCACATCTATTTTTGCATCATGTACTTGCGTCGAGATGGCGCCACTAATTTAGACAGCCGCTCAGGATACAGCTGATAGAGACCGCTTTCTCAAGTTACATAGCTCCTCGCCATTGTTGAGTAGTTCATCATGATTCGTTATTCCTTAGTCATTCTTACCTGCCTCAGCATTTTCTGATAATTTGCAAGATGGCGCTTGCGAAGAAACCTATGGCTCGAATGGTAAAAAAGACTAAGGTATCACCATGGCTGACTTGTTCTCTTTATCATCTCATGATGGCATCGAGATATTGCTCTTAAAGCTTAGACTTGATGGGCGCAAAGGTGCTTCCCTGTCCTCCCCCAAGAGCTTCAACAAGCTCATCGACCTTCTCCAGGATCCATGTACACCCTTCATCGCTAACCAACCATTTGATGCCCTCCTCTTCGCCAGCTTCAGGCTCTTGCTTCCAGGTGCCATCTTCCCAAGCCTTCCTTAGGCCAAAGACGTGGCTGAGCACTTGGGGTCCGACTCCTTGTTGCGCCCTCAAGCATGTGATGGCGATTAAGCTGGTTGTTATGCGGCCCACGGTGGCTCCTTCTCTGCGGGGAGGGTCGGTGAAGAGGCCACCGTATTCGTTGTTGATGATGAAGACGGGCAGATCGGGATGCGCGTCGCCGAGCTTGTGTTCGAGTTTTGTTTCTAGGGGGCGGTAGATGGCATCCCAGAGAGCGCGTCCGCGTTTGTTTATGTGTTCGATGTTAGAAGGGTCTGGGAAGCGCGTAGGTTTGGTGTTTAGGGAGGACGCGATTGACGAGGGGAGTTCGGCGCGGAAGGCGTTTAACATGTTGATGGTGCGCGGTATCTGCAACGAGTATGAGTACACGGCCTTATCTCACGCGTCAGGTCAAATGCTTACGCCATTGAAGCCGATGCACTTCAGACCGATCTCGCGCATGAATTCTGCTATCGCGACACCTTCACTCTCTGGTCTGGCGGTAGCTGAGCTGTTGTATAGGGCCATCATCGACTCGGGCGAGTTCATCGTCATGGTCGCGGCTGTAGAGATGCCGAGCCATGATGGTCGCCCAAGCTTGCGATCTGTGGCCTCTTGCTCTATCCGCTTGTATACAGCCTGTATCCTTGGTGGCGCTGGTACGGGGCCTGGGCGCGAATGCGCGGCGTTGATGAGCGACTTGAGTGTTGGTGATAGCTTCGACATGGTGACGCCAATGCGAGCGCGAGGACCACGATAACAAAAATCAACTGATGACAACTACTACAGAAGCAACAAATGCAACAACAATGTCAACGTCAATGTTAATTGGTATAGAGCTGCTTAGTGCTGTTATCGAGGCGGGAGTATTTAAAGTCGACCAACGTACGATGACGCGAGGCCGACGCCGTTCCGAGGCTCCATGTTCGGCAGTTCTTCAAGTTCCGGCCATCAGGCCACGCTATAAGTGGGGAAAGTGCAAGCTGCCAGACACTATGGAACGGCTAACAGTACTCAACGTCAACATCGCCGGATCAGCCTCGTGGCTCTGATGACAGCGTTATCGAGACCTCGAGTCTTGCATAGTTCACGACAATTGAGATTCAACGTTGTCTTGACATTGTCAGCGCAAGAGTGAGAATTTGGACATGACATAGATATATTTATAACTGGTGACAGGTGTCACAGGTTGCAATGGTAATTTAGACAGTTAGTTACGCTTGCGAAGCGCAGAAGGATCTCGTTTCGTACTATGGTGCTCCCAACCTTGATGGTACGACTATTGGATTATCCTCGTCTTCACCCCCGCTTCTTAGTTGCCTCCGCCAGAGATGGTGGCGTCAAAAGGCTCAGCAATGGACACTTGGCCGGCAGCCGCCGTGTCTTGCTTGATGTTGTTGTTGAGCTTCGTCATCTCCTCCGCAAGCTTGTCGGCAACGGAATCGTCACCCTGGGCTTGCTGAGCCTGAAGCTTGATGACAGTGGCCATGAGCTTCAGGACCTTGTTCTTGATCTTTCCGTTCTGCCGACTTGTCAGCTTTTGCTACGTCGCGGTCATGAAAAGTCACATACCTGGATCTGGTCGGCCTCATCACCGGTAGCAGCTTCCACTGCGGGGTTAAAAGCCTCCTTTTCTGCATCATTGGCGACTTGGTTGACTTCATTCAAAAAGGTAAGATCTGCGGGATCGATGTTTCCAGGGTTCTGTAGGTCCAGCGCCGAGAAGACCGCCATGGCCTCGGCTTGGGCATTTCCAGCCTGTCCACCTGAGATGGAGATGTCGTTGTAGGTTGTGTCGGCGAGAACTGGTCCACTTTGACGGGCCAACACTGCGCGCTTGCTAGATGTGGGTGCAGCGACAGAGAGGGCGGCGAGCGAGAGAACGGCGAAAGATTGGAAGTACATGGTGAAGATGTGGGGAGTGGATATTCAAGATAACAAAAAGTAATTCGTAGGAACAGCACAGCTGATGATAGAGGTAAAGAAGGTAAGAATTGAAGTCACAGCGTCAAGCTGGATATGTTTAGTAGTTAAAAGGAGATGATTGAAAACGCTTGATGATAATAAGAAACTTAAGAGGGAGGTTTGCAATGCGTTCTTATACATATCTTCTGCACAGCGCTGTTGTAGGCTAGACACACCCGAAGCAAGAGCTCCGATCCTGAGGTTTCGTTCTTGCCGAGCTATCCCGCCAGAGCGTCTCCCAAGGCGCCGTCTCATACACGACCTGGAGTATCAGGCTCTATGCGCAAAGCGCACGAGCACTTCAATTCGGCGGCTGTTGAAAGAGTTCCCACGAGTAGGAAAATTCTGCCTGGAGTTGCAAACGTTATGCGTCGCCAGAGAATGGATCGCGCAATCCTGCATGGCCTGAGCTGGATGTTGTTCCTGAACGACAAGGCTGTGAAACCCTCCGGATGTCAGAAGCTGCTACTGTGGCACCGGTATGCATGAGCTTGGCGAAAGCTTGGCCTGTTAGGTGCCTGTCGCGTTGCCAAATACAGTATGGCGCTCGCGATGCGCCAGCGATTCTTGGTGTTCAGAGAAGAGATGATTACTTATGTTCACGTTTGAGTGTGGTTCGTGATGTTGATAGGAACGGCTTGTGTGGGGCACTGACAGATGGCTTCCGCTGTTACAGTAGCATGATTTATTGATGACATAACTATGGCTAGAACAACGCGAAATTTCTACGCTCCGCCGTCGCGTCCGCTCAGCATGGCGCCCCTCTTGCGCATACGCTCTTGCACCATCCTCTTACTGTAACTAGTAGCGTTCACATCAGAACTAGCGCTAAACAAGCTCTCAGCCTTGCCATACACTGCTTCGGTGTACTCAATGCTCGGCGCAGAGAAGTCCATGGTGAAGACACTAACACTAATGCCGCCTCCAGCGACTACGAACGTCTCGCCAGGCAGACTTGTGTCTCCGTTGTACGCGGCGTTGATGCCAGCAGCTAGAGGGTCGACGTTGTCCCACGTGAACAGGCCACTCGTCTCGTTGAAAACTGCCACATCTGTGTTGGCCTCACCTGTGAGCCTGGTCTTGATCACCGGGGGCATGGTGCTATTGACAAGCTCGGGTATATTGACATTAACGCCATAGCCCAAAGGAAGAACCTTTTGCCCCTCTGGTGTGTTCTTGATGAACTCATTGACGACTTCGAAGGAGACTTTGGCTGCCAAAGCAGCGGGATCTGAGGCACTTGTCACGTTGAAGTAGGGCACCGCCTTGTTGCTCGCGCTCGTGGCAATTCCAGGGATTGAGCGCGATACAGCGGCAAACGTTGCGCCTACAGTTCCACTCAGGCCCATCACAAAGGGACCGAGGTTCGTGCCGTAGTTTGGCCCGGCAATGAAGAGATCAGCTGTCTGATGCCAGTCGGGGTAGTAACGTGGAAGCACGTAGTCGAGCGCCACGAAGGTGCACGCAGCAGGTGTACCATCGTAGTACCAGATGTTGTCATCGTTTGGATCACGGCCGACTGCTGGTGCGCCTGCAGGAATGATGTCGTATTGGGATGGGGTAGTGAGGTTTGCTGACTCGGCCCAGATGACGGTGCTGCCTTTACCGGACTGCTGTTGCGCCGGGGCGACGACAAGAACTGGCGCGGAGTTAGCATCGGGCATCACAGGGCTGGAATTGATGAAAGGCATTACCTTCGTGGCCTGCATCGACCAACAACTTGTACAGCTCTCTCAGATTTCCGCTTCCGAATCCATCATCGTTACCCATGAGGATCTTGAGTGCATCTGAAGACGAGGCAAGACCCAGCGCTACTGCGAGCGCAGCATTGAGAGAGAGGCGCATGCTGACCGATTGACAAGGACGTGGGCGTCTAAGCTTTGAGATTTGCAGAAGCGGCGTGCAACCTTCCTGGCGTACCATAAACACCCGAGAAGCCACACTTTATATAGGAACCCAGCGACCTATTCCGGTCGAACCGGTGCCAGCTTTTGGTTGCGCCACATGCATGGCGACTGTACTGAACTAGGCATATAGCTGAGCAAGTTAGAAGATAGTCGCTGCAGGAACAGGAACGGGTACCAAGAACTTGGAATTCCCGATATCGCGTCGAGCTCTCACCTGTGCTTAAGTCGCGTGCTGATTCGATGTCGATAAAGATATGCGGAACGCCTCGTGGTTGGCTAAGACGAATTGGGAAGGAGATCACGCGCGTCCGGATAAGACGCGAAATGCATCGGAGTCCGGCGACCGTGAGGTTTTCTGAGCATGGTTTTGGGAAAGATACACCAAGCATCACTATTTCCGGCATGATAACTTCATCAGTATGTTGTTCGTGCTGATAGAGAAGGATCCGCAAGGTCCCTTACCCATTGAAAGAGTCGGGGCTGCTTTGCTAGCGTCCTTTTTCGTCTGGTGACTACCATTTTACTCGGAGTATACCTTGGTGCGATAGCACGACCGAGAAAGTGTTCGGTCGAAACACTTCCACAATGTGCAATCCGGTCACGAGTGATTGTAGTGGCGACAGTTTGCTGTGTTCTATTGAAGCAAATCTCTACATGAAAAGGTTGATGACTCCAGACCGATCGGCTGAGATGACCATGCCGTATGGCTGCTCAATCAACGCCACATCTAGTATACGGTCCACATGACTCTTAAGCAGGTACTGCTGCTGCAACGCGATAGCACCTGATCTTGACGATTTGCCGGATACCTTCTTGACTGAAGTGTTCGCCCTGCTGTCCCTTGCACTACTCACTTGGTTGGCAGGCTGCTGTAACCTCTCAGTAATGACGACAGTATCTGGGCTCGGTTGCGAAGCGGTGTAAGTTGGCTTGCTTTCATCAAGCTCTAGGCCACTCACAACCATCGATGATTCTGCTCGACTGGTATCCCAATACCGGACTTTCCAGTCCGAACCTGCAGTAAGGAGGAATGTGTGCTTTGGCTCGCCTTTCTCATCTGTAGCCTGTGTGTGTATTGCTAGTCCGCGAATACCGCGATCGGCTGTTGAGCTGGCTGTTGGTTCGACGCTGGTTGCAAAGCGGCCAAGCATACCGCCAGGTTTCTCCTCATCAAGATCGATGAGTGTGGTGCTCTTGTTACCGATGTCTTTGCACGTTCCCGTACGGTATACCTCCTTACAAATGTGCTTTTCAAAATCCCATACTGTGACCTCTCCCTGATCGCTACCACCGGCAATGTACAATCGAGTCTTTTTCAACTTTGGGAAGAAAACTTGGCAAAGACGATGTATAGGCGATGCTCCGTGACATACCCAGGCTTTGAGACGAAGCTTGAAGCGGAGATCCCAGAGATCAAGTACGCCGTGCGAAGTCCCTAATAGCAGCCAATGTGCTCTCTTATCCACACAGAAGCAGGTGGGTGTTCCGTGATCCAAAGGGTTATTGAGAGTGTATAGCAGTTCCATGGTTCTCAAGTCTAGTGCGATGACCTTGGAGGTATTGGTGGCTAATAGAAGCACTGACCTGCTGTCTCCGTTGTAGTGTTCCGACCATACAGCACAATCGCCCTTGGGAAGCTGATATTCGCGAAGAAGTCGAGGTCTTCCGAATTTGGCATTGCCGTCCTGGCTCTGGAGGTAGTCTACACGTACCACATGTACACTCCCATCACTCCCCGTTGCAACAAACGAATAAGTCTGTTCTACAAACACCAGACTTGTGACCTTGACATCCTCACCCAATCTGTAAGTCTGTCGCGATCTCCGGGTGATATTACGCTCCAGACGCGACGTGTCCCAAATCTTTACAGTACCGTCATCTGATCCGCTGATGAAGAAGCCTTGGTCCGGGGATACAAGAATTCGCGTGACAGCAGCAGTGTGCTCCCCGAAACTAGCCACTAAGGTGCCTTCCGGTCTCCATGGTATACCGGGTGCCGATTGATGAGCATCCTTATATCTAATTGGCTGTCGCCGAACCGGTGGCTGTATGCGAGGACCGAACTCGATCTCATCTGTAGGGAAGCGCTCTAGCAGCATGGAATCTAAAAGCTTGAGGATTGCCGGATCGTTGCCCGTATAATTATGTGCGTTCCTAAATCGGATCCGCATTGGACTTCGCTCATGCCGATCGAAAGCGAGTGGGGAGTTCGGAGGTCGGGATCGTGAAGAATCTCGGACGTGGGTTCCATCCACCTTTCCGAAAGCGTTTGCAGAAGTAGTACCAATCTCTGCCAATGCTTTGTTCTCTCCTTTGCCGAGCAGTCCCAGCGCACTGCTGCGGTGTCGAAGGCTACCAGGGTAGTCACTCGAGCCAATAGAGTTTGATGGCGACAGGGACGGCTTCGCGATTTGTAATGATCTCCGTCGCGTATCGGTTTCGGAAGGTGGCGAGCCCAGACTAGAGTGTGCATCGTTGGAAGAAGACATCTTCGATCGTACGGGAATGGTTATTCCCCTCTCTTCGCGTATGAGGCGTCCCGCTTGACTCTCAAAATGCGGCATACGGTCAGCCAGCCCATTAGCCTCCGTAGTTGATGCATCCAACAGGGCATCCTTGATCGTTCGAGGCTGCATATGTTCCTCGGGAGCGTGTGGCTTCCTGGTTTGTTCCATGACTTGACGGACGTCTTCATCGAAAAGTACAGTCTGGGCTTTGATACCAAGATCGTGCAACAAGACAACGCTATTGAATTTCGTAGTTGGGGTGGAAAGACTGTCAGAGCGCCGGCGATGGCTTACCCTCCAGATGAACTCTCGCAGAGCAACAAGTTTGAAATCATCTTCTATCGTCATGCCTGCATTACGAAGCTTTCGTAGCCATAGCTCGTCTTCCTCGTTTTTTGGTAACCGTTGCAGTACCTTCTGGTCTAGTTCACGCCCAGAAATTGTTGGAAGGCTATCGTCTGATGAACCAAAGGTGAACGTCTGCTGATGCCTAGCTGCGATCCAGAACTGTCCTTTTTGAGATTGAAGTGCCCAGTTTGAAGCCATCTCTAGGAGTAAACGTGACATAGGTAGCTTCAAAGACTCCAGAATTCGTAGCTCAGAGAATTCTGAGGGTATGACTTTTAGATACGGTCGAATGAGGTTGACTAGAATGCTGTGCGTATCGGCTACCGACAGGTACCTAGAGGCGGCCGAGATGAATTGTGCAGCTGCCTCTCGTATCCACAGATTGGGGTGCATGGTAAGTCGGGCAAGGATGTCCACCAGCTCCCAAGTCTTGGAGCGCTGGAATAGGCCAAGCTCTGCCATGGACGAGAGTGCTCGAATAACCTTTTCAACCACAAACTCTTCTGGATCTGTCAATGCCTGAACCATAAGTGGTAGAATGTAACCTTCCAGGCTAGCACCGCCAACGAATACGGCCACGCCCACAATGCCCTCAAAGAACGCACACTTGAGCATCCAATCTGGATCATTCAAATAGGTATTGAGATGACTGAGGACGACATCATTGGCCCTAGGACTGCCGAAGAAAACGCAGAGGTCAGAGACGGACTTGAGCATGGCTCGACGAACCGCAGCGTCGCTGTCAGTAAGAAGAGCTTTAGTATGCTTCTCGAAGGCTTCTACGAGAATGCGACGGTCCGAGTCAAACTGGTTCCGGTGAGCAGACGAAGACATGTCATCTTCCGTTTCGGGATCTGCAGTGGGTAATGATCCCTCTGCACGCAGAGCTTGGATCATATCCAGATACCTAGCCGCAGTAGTTGCCAATGTGCCAATACAAAAGGCATACTGCATACGAACAAGGGATCCAACGTTGGTAGGATAATCGGGTAGATATGTCTCTAGTCGTGGCAAAACATACTCCGGAAAGATGTAGGCGTTTATGGGAGAGACGACCTGCACCATAGCAAGGATTTGCGTCAGCGTGCGTAGTGCAGCAATCTTGACTTGGTCGGACTTGTCGACTAGCAATTGGGCCACGTAAGGGATCACTCGGTCCAGCTTTGCTTCGTCTGTCAAGCGCTCTGAGAATGCCAGGAGTAACTCGAGGCCGCGAACACGGGCAGAAGCTCTCGCTGTTCCACGTAGACAAGACACGACAATAGTCAAGAAGACCAAGTTTCCGTCGTCGATGGCTAGACTCCGGGCAGGAGAAGCTTGGTGCTGATAGTTTGGTATGTTGACGAATAGCGGGAAGAGCTTGGCGTTTGGCTTTGGAGGAGAAAATTCTGGTCTAGTGAGCTCCTTTCCTTCCTCGTTGGAAAGCAGATGGGAGATCTTGTCGTAGTCGCTATATATCTGCTCTATACGCTCATCAGGTTCACCAAGATGTTCTGCTCCGGTGGTTACAGGCTTGCGCCCCGACGACGGATCGGTGATTGAGTACATGTACTGTTGCAAAAAGCCATAGAAGTATGTTGGGAATACCTTGCCTTTCCAGTGCGTCAAATAGTCTTCAGCAGTCATGCGTGAATTAGGGTCTACTTGTATCATGTGCAAGATCAGTTCCCGTACGCTAGCATCCTGGATTTTGTTGAGATGGGAATGTTCGGGGTTGTATTCGCCTTGTCGATACTTGAAGAGCTGACTGAGGGAGAAGATGGGTGCTTCCAAGAATAGTTCGGCAATAACGCAGCCGACGCTGAAGATGTCCATGGCCCAATTTACATCGCCCTCGCCTTCAGGTTGCTGTCCAGCAGCCAGGAACCTCTCTGGTGCAAGGTAACAAGTGCGGCGACCGGAGAGGTCGAAGTAGAAGGAGAAGTCGGCAGGGTTATCTTCCGGTAGATGTGCTGGCTTGTACGAGGACGAAAAGTCGGCGAGATACAGCCAATTCCAGGATGTGACAAGGACATTCTCGGTCTTGATGTCGCCATGGTAGATATTCCTGGCGTGGCAGTCTCGTACAGCGCAAAGAAGCTGGAACGAGAGCCATTTCTTCTCTATCTCTTCCAGGAATGGACGTGTACTATATGATGTTGAGTAAGAGACATGGCTGGTAAAAGAACAAGGACGTACCTCAAACGATCGTACAGAGAGCTGTGAATGTATTGGCGTACAAGATAGCCGCAAGCAGCTGTCTCAATAACGCGGTGATACGGGATGGCATTGGGCACATCTGCCAGCACTTTGCGTTCATCTTGTAAATGTTAATTAATCGGCTGTAAGATGATAGAGCTTGTACAGAACTCACGGAGCAGCCGTTTGACATGTTCCTGGAAGTCAAATTGAGCATACGGTTTCATTACCACTCGGGCTACAACAAGACCGTCCTTGTGGCGCGCCCGTACGGCTTTCATAAAACGCGCAGCCCCCAGCGACTTTTCATACTGGAGATCCGCTAGTTCAGGCACGTCAATGTTGGCTGAGCCAGCAGAAAGGGTAGTGAGGGAAAAGCCTTGACCCATGGCAGCGGTTGATGCGCGGGTCTAGTCGTGGTGGTAGTCGTGTTAGGATGTTGGGCAGTGTTGATGCGCCACGACGAACATGTTGAAGGGTGTGATGCGGATCTTTCACTGTGTATACTCGAGGCAAATCCTCGTTGGATGGAGTCTTATCAGACGGGATCGCACGCTTAGTGTCTAATTGTACGTTCGCACGCGTCAGGTGCAGCCTTCCAGGTCATCGTTCATCCGTCGCGCCCGCCTTGACACCAACCCCAAAGCGGAAAGGTCACCCGCAGCCCACTTGATCTCGTGCATCGCAACACGTAATGACCGTCTCCCTCTCTCTCTCTTTGAACACACGATGGCGGAAAAGAAGGAACACGTCGTCTTCTTCCACCCTGACCTGGGCATTGGCGGGGCGGAGCGCCTGGTCATCGATGCCGCAGTCGGCCTCCAGAATCGCGGGCACAAGGTCACCATCTTCACATCGCACTGCGACCCGCAACACTGCTTCGATGAGGCGCGCGATGGTAAGCCTCTACTACAACACCTCGGACCACCCGCCGCCTATGCCTGGCCACGCAGCTGAGACCTGACGCGCACACAAAGGAACCCTCGACGTACGAGTGCGCGGAAACACCATCGTCCCCTCCACCATCTTCGGCCGCTTCGCTATACTTTGTGCCATCCTGCGCCAGGTGCATTTGATACTCCAGATTGCCCTGTTCACCGAAGAACTCCCGAAACTCGCGCCTTCCTCGTTCTTTGTCGACCAGCTCAGCGCTGGCATTCCGCTCTTGCGCCTGCTACAGCCCCGCCCACGTGTCATCTTTTACTGCCACTTTCCCGACAAACTACTAGCCAAGAAGGGCGGACTGCTGAAGACACTATACCGTGGGCCTTTTGACTGGCTCGAGAGCTGGAGCACGGGATGCAGTGACACCATTGTCGTCAACAGCAACTTCACCAAGAGCATTTTCGGCGAGGCCTTTCCTGCCCTGAAGCACCGCGAGCCTGGCGTTGTATATCCCTGCGTAGACATCACCGCAGCCGAGTCGGTCGACGAGGTCACGCCGTTGTGGAAGAACAAAAAGGTGCTCCTCAGCATCAATCGCTTCGAGAAGAAAAAGGACGTGGCACTTGCAATCAGGGCATTTGCGGGCTTGTCGCCTAGAGAGCGCGAGGATGCACGGCTGGTAATCGCAGGTGGCTATGATCCTAGAGTGCCCGAAAATGTTTCTACATATACCGAGTTGTGCCACCTGGCAGATTCACTCAAGCTGAAGCACGCGACTGCTAAGACCGTCATTACTGCCCAAGCCATTCCTGACGACATTCCGATTCTTTTCCTCCACTCTGTTCCGAATGCTTTCAAAGCCGCGCTACTACATACCTCGCGCCTCCTTGTGTACACTCCTTTGCATGAGCACTTTGGCATCGTACCGCTAGAAGCCATGTTGGTAGGCACACCGGTCTTAGCTGCTAATGAAGGTGGACCCACTGAAACAGTCATAAGCGGCCAGACAGGTTGGCTGCGAGACGTCACCAAGGTACAGGACTGGACCGAGGTCATGCGCATTGCGCTCGAAGATGGCGAAGGTGAGGAACGGCTGAAAGAGATGGGCAAGTGGGGCAGGGATAGAGTTGTGGCCGAATTCTCCAAAGAGAAGTTGGCTGAGAGGCTGGAGACGGAGATCAGTGGCATGATGCAGAAAAGTGTTCGCCCGCCACTGTTACCATTTGCCGCAGTCATTCTGGCTGTAGGCTTGATGGGCGCCCTGGCTGCAGTGAGCATGGTACTAGCTTTGAAACAATAGGCCTGTGTTCTCGAGTAGTCACAAACTATTATCACTTGTCGAATATGTTTCCTTGTTTCCTTGACAATGGCTCCTATGGCTCTGATTCATCCTTCCATTGGCACAGTGAAGCAGAAATACTCTCGAACTTGGCCTCGTTGGACAGACAATCCAAAAACTGCGAATGCGGTAGAAGACGTCAAATCACGTGCGTTGAATTTCTATCGTTAACTATTTCTTCATTACGGCCTTCACGCTAGGCACTTCATCCTCTTTCTCCAGAATATCCGGCACAGGGCCAATGGGCGTAATCTGGAATTTGTTGATCTGACCATGACTCTTGGTATAGTGCTTCTTGATGTGTTCAAAGTCTGTGGTTTCTTTGAAGGCGGGGTAGTCCTGTTTCAGTCATGTTAGTATAACAGCCATGATCCACAACGTGCAGACGTATTTGGAGCAGGAGATGCAAAAGACGGGAACGTACCCAGTACAAATGACGCATCCACTGATGTAGAAGAGGGTATCCCGATCTAATATCGCGAATGTTGCACTTAAAGTGCTGGACATAGACGGGATCGAAGCGAATGATAGTCGTGAAGAGACGGATATCAGCCTCAGTCACATGTGGGCTTGAAAGAAGGTATGGTGTCGAACACTTGGACAATGACTCTTCCAGGCGATCAAGAGACTTGAAAAGCTGTGTCACAGCTTTTGTGTAGGCCTCTTCGGTGCTGTACCATTATTAGTACGTTGCAGTCAACGTTGAAGGGACGGTATAGGGTAGCATACGTAGCGAACCCTGACTTGTAAACACCGTTGTTTACATCGTTGTATACCCAGTCGTTCATAGCCTCGATATCCTTCTGGAGATCTTTGGGAAACAAATCCACCTTCCTGTACTTCTCCTCGATGATATCGTCAAACTCGGTGTACAGCATCCTGATAATCTCGGCGCTCTCGTTGCTGACAATCTTCTTGGCTTTCTTATCGTAGAGCGTTGGTACAGTGAACCGACCCTCATAGTCTGGGTTCTGCTCAAAGTAGATGTCACGTAGATGCGTGTATTCATTGTGGAGTGGGTCTGGTGTTGTGTTACCGGAAACCTGCTCATCGGGGGTTGCGAATCGCCAGCCTTTCTCCGCCATGTGCCAGTGTACACTGTTATAGGAGATGATATCCTCGAGGCCCTTTAGATGACGGACGATGAGTGTGCGGTGGGCCCATGGACAAGCGTAAGAAACGTAGAGATGGTATCGACCTTTCTCGGGCGGAAACTCAGCACCGGGTTTGTTCTGAATCCAGTTCCTGAAGACGGACGTTTGGCGTTTAAACTCGCCACTCTTGTCACCAGGTTTGACCTGTTGTCGCAATCAGTATGCTGATGCTGGGTCTGCCGCCCGTTCGATACCTAAGGAACAGAGACTAGATTCCGTGCTTGTGACACTCCTCTCTTCATGAGCACTCACCCAATCAAGGATCGACCCCTTCCCATCCTTGCTATCTTGCTGAGGCGCTTTGTCCATGGCTGCGCGGCTTGATGTTACGATAAAAGGTCGTGTATGTCGTATCGCAAAGGAAGAACGTTTCGAGATTGCCCTGAGCCGCAGTGTACGAGAGAACATGGAACGGCGGCTTGAAACTATATGAGCAAACGTTGTGGCTATATAGCTGTCATTGAAAGCTCGCAGCTATACTGAGACGGAGACGTCATAGCTTCTCTTGGTTCCGATTTGGTGGGGCGCGCGTTCCGAGGGTGGAGTTTACTCAGCATTTGGAAAGCTTGACTAACGTCCGCCGTGACAAAGCATTTCGTGATGATATTCCGCTTTGACTGTAAACGCTAGGCATCAAGTCAGCGCGTATCGAGCGGTCTAGAAAGGCCATTGGAATAGAGAATTACTATCACGAAGGTGGAAGGACGCTCTGAATTTGATGGGTATCTATTGCTTTTGCCTGTTCGTCCAACGTTCATGTGCATAAGACCTTGTGCAAAAACTTGTTACGCCTTAACCATATTATACACAGTAGCCTGCCCACAAACTTCATTCTATCTGACACAAGTAAATCATCGCTGTGTCTGTATGCCTCAGAGCAGGGCGGCGCCTACGTTTCCTAACGTCTGTTTCGTCACATCGTCCCGTACCTTGCCCACTTTCTTGGCTGAGTCGAGGATAGCCCCCTCAATGGCCTTGAGAGCTTCGACGAGCTCACGGCGCTGATCACGTGGCGCGCTTCGGCTGCCCGTCAGTTGCTGAGCCTTCTCCATCGTGCCAGCCTCCATCGTTCGTAAGTGTGCTTCAATCTCACGGATCTGGCGCTGGTACACATCCAGAGTACTGCCGAGCTCATCGGTACGGCGGTTGAAGTAGCCCATCAGGTCAACAGGCTTTGTCGGATCGTCATCATCCAGAGCGCTTGTTGCGGGGGCCTTTGTGCTTGAAGCTGTAAGGTTCGCATTATTGCGGTAATGAAATTGTGCTGGCAGGCGTTGATTTTCGATGGCACGGAAGCTGAGAGTCGCGTCGTCGGCGTCTTTCTTGACAAGATTTTTAAGGTGTGCAATGTTGGCAGAATCGTTGTCCAGGCCGACTTCGACGGTGGAGAGGATGGTCTCAATGTATGCTACGTCAGGCGCAATAGTGGAAATGTCGCCCTCACTGCCGGGAAGAGCCTCGCGGATCTGGTTGCAGTAGTTGACCTTGCGCTGGATGCCGTCGTCGAATTGCTGAATGAGGTTTTGTATTTCGGGGTGCAGGTCGTTGAACCGCGTAGTTCCTCGTATCGAGTCCAGGGTCATCTGCACCGGCTGTGCGCTTGAGCTCATCTGGGTTCCTCCAAGCGTAGAGCCACCAAGTGTATTCGACCTGTTTTGTGTGTTGGTGCCACCAAAAAGACTGTTTTGCTGCTGTGGCTGAGCCTGCTGTTGGGTCGAACCGAAAAGCGACGGGGTCGATGTTTGGTTTTGCTGAGTGGATGTGTTGTTTCCGAATAAAGAGGGTGTTGTTGTCTGTTGTGTTGAAGAGGCGCTAGAAGATGCAGTTAGCCCTTGTGTCACAACGCATAGTCCTCGTCACTTACAATAGTGACGGCTTCGACTGGGCGCCTCCGAATAGCCCACCGGATTGGGGCGCGTTCTGCGTCTGATTTTGAGTGTTTCCGCCCAACGCGCCGCCGAACAAGCCTCCGCTCTGGGGCTGTGTTGGTTGCGCTGTAGATGAGCCAAAGAGTCCTCCGCTCGCCGGCGCTGTCGTCGCAGGCTTGTTCAAATTGCCAAAGAGGCTGCCGCTTGAGGGCTGGGAAGTCTGGGTTTGGCCGCCGAAGAGCGATCCTGACTGTGCTTGTTGTGGTTGCTGGGTAGACCCAAAGAGCCCTCCGCTGCTCTGAGGCTGGCTTGCCTGCTGCCCTTGGTTCGCATTGTTTCCGCTGCGAGAGTCAGTCTAATGCATTGATATGGTGCCATTGCCAGCAAAACTGCGACGCGCGCATGAAGCACGGCAGTAGCACTCGTATCGCTCGAGTAGGAGCGTTTGACGGAGGATGGAGAAGCACTTACAACAATCCACCCCCACCAGTATTGATACTCAACGAGTTTGAGCGCCCAAATCCTGCCATCTCGTGCGAGTGTCCCTAGCTATGTTTGGTAGCTTCGTTGTGTAAATACAGTCGCTTGCGAAAGGTTCACAAGGACAAGGTTGCAGCCGCGAACGAAGTCTACCCGTTGAGAAGCCCGTAGAGATTATCACAAGACGAGGAAAGAAGGCCTGGGAGAATGCGCGTGGTTAGACGTGCAAAGGTTGCGCCCGGAGGTGACAAGGAACGTCTGCGTCTGTTTGGCTGCGCGCCAGCAACAAGCACAGGCCCGAACGCGTCCATTCTACTCGGCTAATCATTCCCTCATCCAGCAACTCAAAGGAAGCTCAAGTTCGTTAGCAGAGGCATTACTACGAGAGTCGTTCAAGACACGACTTCTAATCTTGTTTCACTCTCGACAACAAGAACAAGCAAAGCAAAAGACTGAGCGCTGACCAAGCTCCTTCTCTCAAAAGAGCACTCCAGAGTGCTGGATACATAGTAATTCCCTGGAGGATCTCAACTGCTGGGGACGCGCTCTGCGACTTGTGGACCGAAGAGAACGACAAAATGGCAGACGAATCTGACGACGATCTCTACGGAGATGAGACTACCACGCAACAGCAAAAGCATGCGAAGAAAGAGGAGGACGACTCTAGTGGTGACGAGCCCATGGATGAAGAGTCGGGCGACGAGGAAGAAAGCGACTCGGTACGCTGCACCGGAAGCCTGCCAAAAGCTAGCTGTCATTCTAACGAAGCTGTAGGATATTGATATCATTATCGAGAAAGCGCCAGCACCTCCCAAACCCGCAGGGTAAGCTTCAAACAAGCTTCAAACAGCAGTTCATGCACTGACAAGCCCGTCCAGCACGCAGGCACCCCCAGAAAGCAAAGCCATAAAGATCGAAGCACCACCCGCCTCATCCACTACTCCCTCGCAACAGGGAGCCCCCAAAACTGTTCCCACCACCGGCGGCACTGTGCCCCAACTGTCCGCCGCATCCCTTTCAGGCGCCGCCTTCCCCGCACAACGCACCTCTACTATCGATGTGAACGGAAATCCTGTCTACCCTCCTCAAGGCAAAGAGATCCTCAGTGTGGACATTGATGCAGATCTAGCTGAAGAGCAAAAGATCTGGCGCCGACCAGGTGAAGACCAGTCAGATTACTTCAACTACGGTTTTGATGAGTTTACTTGGGAATTGTACCGGCAGAGACAAGTCAGCATGGCCAACACGCTGCAAGGTCAGAAAAACGACATGGCACAGATGCAGGCTATGATGGGCGGTGGACCGATGCCGGGTATGCCTGGTATGGGCGCTGGCCCACAGGGTAACGGTGGACCAGGCGGTGCGCCGCCAACAGGGCCTGGAGGTGGCGGTAATGCTATGGGACCTGGAGGTATGAATGAACAGCAGATGCAGATGATGATGCAGGATATGATGGCGCAGGGAATGGACCCCAGCCAGATGGACTTTGCATCCTTCATGCAGATGGCTGGCCAGGGCATGGGTGGCTTCGGTGGTGGACCTGGCGGCCAGCAAGGCGGAGGCTTCCAACAAGGTCATCAAGGCGGCGGAAGAGGTGGACGCGGAGGTAGAGGAAGGGGATGGTAGCACGGTGAAAACGACTCCATATCTGATCCGGATAACAGCGTGGGAAAGGATCGATTTATGATGGTACATGGCATCACGGCGTTCTGAGTGTATTACTACGATACCACGGGTGGGGACAGCCTCATAGCGCAAAGCAGTCTGTTTTAATTTATACAGATCAATCTACTTCCAGCTCGAGCGCTTCACTACATACGCCTCCATGTCTGTGGTAGAGTCACCAGGTCTTCCCGTGGATATTCCACTGCGCATTCGCTCCTTGAGAGCCACACGCGGTGCAAACCAAACCTTTATGCGCCTCACAATGGTCGTGCGCCTCCTTGTTCCCCTGTAGGCGTGGGGTTTCGCGCAGTCGCGAGCTGTACTGTCTACCTGCTTTACATGTTTATGTCACTATCCAGACTCTCAGCGGTATAGTCGCTATGTCTCCATGGGTTCTCCGCCTTGGAGGATATGTGCTGGTATCCGCCCTTCAGCGAAATCCTTCTCCAGCCGTGCCATTTCCGCCAGACTGCTCGCGTTGAGGATGGCAGCGCGCATGCGCTTCTTCTCTTCGTCGGTGTAGATACGCTCTTTACCCGAGTCGGCACCGTTTGTGAATGTGGGGACAACAAAACCTTTCGACTTGTTGCTGGAGATCTGGCGGAATCAGTATCTGATCAGAGGCAGAAGCAGTGTACATGACATACCTGGTTTGCAAGCTCGGTGGGCTCCTCTGCAGTTCCAAATAGCTCCTTGGCCGTCTTTCGTTCAGCATCGCGTACTTTGACAAAATCTAGGAATCGCACAGTAGGGCAGCGCCAGATGACCCAATACCGGTAGTTCTACGCCACGTTAGCATCCTGCACATTATAGTCTACTGTCATGCGATTTTGAGCCGGCCAAATCGCACCAAGGGGCTCACCCTGCATCATCTCCGCTCCTCGGGCTCAAGTGTGCTTGCACAATTAGGCTCGAAGTATCATGGTTCAAGGGATTTGGTACGTACCTCTTTGCGTGTGACGGGATTCCCCATCAATGAAAGATAGACCAAATGCTTGAATCCCGCCAGCGGATCCAAGTCCGCCAGCTCTGCGATCTTGTTCTTGGTGAGAACTAGTGTTCGCAGATTGGGTATGCTCGAGGAGAGGTTCGGTTGGATGTTGGAGATGCGGTTCTGCGCGAGGAAGAGGGTTCGGAGACGAGGCTGGAGGGGGAAGTTGCCGAGCTGTGCGATGTCGTTGTCTGTGAGATCTATGGCGTCGTTGTCCTGCGACCCTGTTAACATACTGATGCAGGTTGGGTGGCTTGGTCGACTAACTCTGGCTGCTCCCATGTTCTCGATAGCCGAAATCTTGTGACCTATATTATACGATATTGATATCAACTCAGCTCTCAAGTGTAGTATCTGTTCTTTCCAACGCACCTCGCAGATCGAGTTCACGCTCCGTGAGACAGTTGATGAAAGAGAGGGAGTTGTTGATCAGGTCTGTCGTTAACCTCATTTTGGCGATTGGCGATGATTGATTGGTTTCTGGTCAAGCGGACAATATTAGAGGTTTCAACGTGCTTCGGTATCGTCTGTCCTTTTGCGCGGGTTTCGAAAGTTGGTCGCGAAGTTGGAGCTTGTACTGAAATTCGTAGAGCGCCAAGGAAGTTCCCACTAGCGCGACTTCCAGCTCCTGGTCACTTCTAGACATCGTCCTTCGACCCCGCTCCGCCATGCGAGCAATTATCCTTGTTACATACGCGCTGATTTTATCATAGCAGACCAAGAGACTGTAGACCGACTCGGGACATGCGCTGACGAGTAGCGTTTTGCAAATTGAACCCCATATCTTCAGAACACGTCTGCCGCTGTCAGCACAAGTGTACCCAGGCAACGCATCGTTTCTTGTACATACTAACCTTCTTCATAATCGATAAACAATCTTCCTAACATGGCTCGGATCATATTGCAACTCCCTGATTGGACACGCTCCTCTGAGTATATATATGCCAGTCACACATGGCCGTTTCCCACAAGGCTGGACTCAAAGAATCAGCAGCCACACTGTCTGATTTCCACTGCCCGGCAGACCGGTGAATGCACCGTTAGAGCCTCGTCTCGACTCTCTCATAGTAGTTTTATCTTGTTATTTCTTCCATTGGCTCTTCAAACTCGTGTAGTCCACGATTGGATCGCTGCCATCCGGTGAACAATGCAAGCCATCAGGACCAGCAACTGTGCAGCCTGACACGTTTCGTTGCGGCTCGACATGATGTATAACATGATAGTTCGGCGCTCCCAAACTACTTTTCGATTCATCCTAGCCTCATCACATCTTGAATCGACTTAACATGGCAGCCTGCACGATATGCAGCACTTGGATCAGAGGTCCCGGAAATCGATGCACGCAACACCGCTACGTCAGAAATAGATACGATGACTATAACTACAGTAGTGACTCGACGAATGCTCGCAGCGCCCGTCACAGTACGGGCACAGGCACTCGTCCACATCGTTTCTCAAACAACCAGGACATATATGGACAATACGATACCAGCAATGCTCTCGTACGTCACAGAATACACAGCAATGCACACCGGTCCAGCTCTCATCCCAATGAGCTAGCAAAACCTCTTGTCCATGTTTTCGATAGATTCAGCAACACGCATGCCGTCGCATCCGTGCAATACTCAGCGAACCCATCCTCTGGAAGTTACTCCATCTCAGCCCAGGCAAATCTCGATCGCGAACAATGCACCAACTGTCGTGAATGGTTCCCAGATGGTCTCAAGCTACAGTACCATCAACAAGAGTTCCCAATCGAATGCGAGCAGTGCAACATATGTCTGAGGTACGATAATATAGCATACCATGCAACGGACGTCAAACATGAGAGGTGTTTCGTGAGAGGATGTGAGAGTGATTATAGGACAGTGGGCAACTGGAGGCATCGCTACGTCGAGAGACATGTGTTGGGCAGGCACACACAACAGAGTTATCATTGAGAGAGCACGAATGTATACCGGGTCGTGTTGACGGACTGGGTTTAATTTCCGCAGATCAGACTGCGGACTTATGATGCTATGACTAGAACGAGGGTTACATCTGATGTGGATAACTCCCTCTTGAGTGTTCTCGTTTATTTTACCTGTGTTTCGAGATAGTTACCTGGTGCTGGTTTGACAGTACACAAACTGGATATAGCAGCAGTGTTGAATAGAGGCGAACATGGCGAAGATGGTAGTAAACATAGCCATGACTTAATACGCAGTAATGTGACCGATGTCGATCTCATGATGGTTCAATCTTACCTGGTGTTTTTGGCCGAGGTAAAGTGAATATCGTGATGGATGTTTGAAGAACGCTATGAGTTTGGTTTCGAGACGGCCATTCATCCGCAGAAGAAATGTCAAAGACTTTAGGCAGAACCTGTCTACGACCTAGAATACATCGCTCAAT